AATCTAGGAAACCAAGTGTTGCAAGTGATGGCTCTCACTTTCCTGACAGTGACATTGAGGACATTAGCTCTGGTGTTCCTCGCCCATCAGGCGCGCCGGTAAAAGTGGCTGACACTTGATCATTTGTGAATGTGAAGAATAGTTTATCACAGAACTGTTACTGAAATAACTTTTATAATTTAGGATTTGGTTTTTGTGGTGTGGGATCATCTTTTTCAGGATGGTGGGTGTGATTCAAGGGGTGTTCCTGGATGGGAGGCAGTGGATAACTTGGCAGAGTACCTTGTTGGTCTCACCGCCTATAACTGCTTTGTCAACCACTAGGATATCTCAGATTGTGAGGTTGTATTCTTGTCTGCATGCCATTGACCAGTCTCCAACTAAATATTCGCAAATGTAAGAAGAAGACCTTGCCAGGACCTTGGGAGCGCTTCCCGCAGAGAAGCGGACCGGCACCTGGTCAGCAAGCAGCTGAGAGGTGAATTAAACTTTAGTGGATGCACACATTTTGTAATTTACAAATATAATTAGTATGATCCATTTTATCTCATTAAACAACAGTTAATTCAATTTGGTTGGCTGGGAGGCATTTTAGAATACTTGATATTTAGCTGGTAACAGCACTGGGACTTTTCATTGTATCAATGTTCACTTTGTGTGTATTTGTGCTTTGGCCTAGCTTGGCAATATTGTGTCTAAAATATATGTTACTCAATATTAACTTCTTGTTTATAGAACTTTTGTATAAAAGCAATGTCACATGAGCATGGGTGTTGTTCTGAATATCAGAATGGTTGTGATTACCTGTGGCCCTTGGCGCCTGTGGCTGAATCACAGCTGTATGATATTCTGGAACAGCAACAGAATATTGATTACTTTCTTCTATCTTTTTATTCACAGACTGTTCATGACTCATGGCCAGGCTGCCCAGCAGACCTGATGTAAACAGGGTTTCGAAATGTGTTGCCATCAGGCTTCTGAAAGAATATCGGGAGCCAGAAATAGGGCCCAAAAGATAACATAACAGGGGAAAACCTTCCCCATTCCCCAGGCAATTGTCATGACATACAGTCACATCAAACAGCTGCTTGAAGACTGCAGAGAGTTACTGGACCAGACCAACTTAGTGCTAGTAACAATAAACAACACCACAGTCTCTTCTTGGTGAGATGTGTTTTGGCTTCCTTGATTCATTTCAATTGTAAAACATTTGTGATATATTTGTATGAACAATATACAGAAATAAAAATTAACTGCATGTTCATTCTATTGAGAACATCTTATGCAATTCAGTTCAATTACTAAAACTGTCTAATCGCCCGCCCCCACCCCACAGGCTGCTTGACCGAAAAAGAGAACGACGGGACTCCTTGCTGCAAGGAGTGCAGCTTCCTCAGCAGGTAAATTCGGCAAAGGATTCCCTGCCAAATGCTAGGAGTCTCCCATCTTCACCTGTGGAGCATGGACATGCAGTCATGGAGTTCAAGGAGCCTGAAAACCATGGGGGGTGAGGCAATGATTCGCCGACGTCACTGTGGCAGAACTGGGACTGCAGGGTCTTCCACCATGACACACACACACTGGGGTAGGACATCTTTACGGCCTGGGACACAGAATTGTCCTGAGTGGGATTCCGGCAGGGTCAGTTCTTCTGGCTGGTCACCCTATCCACAGGGACAACCACCAAATCAGCACCACTCTCTCCAGGCATGGCCGCCCTATCCACGGGACAACACGCAAATCCGCGCCACTCTCTCAGGCATGGCCGCCCCTCCACCGGGACAACACCAAAACCACAGCGCCTACTCTCAGGCATGGCCGCCCTATCCACTGGGACAACCACAAATCACAGCGCCACTCTCAGGCATGGCCGCCCCTATCCACTGGGACAACCACCAAATCCAGCGCCTCTCTCAGGGATGGTCGACCTATCCACAGGGACAACCGTCAGCTCCTATCTTGGCGCAGACCTCTCGAATCGTCACCGTGAGTGGAGACTGCGAAAGACAGTACTTGAGGATCAGGAGCGTGTGGCTAAGGGGAAACCGCCTAAAAGCGGCACTACACGAAGGCTACCACTATCAGTGTAAAGACTGTGGTCAAAGCAAAAACAAACTTTCTGGCCATACCCAGTTGAGAGGGAAATGGTACTGTCCCGAATCTGGGCAAACCATCACAGAGTGGAAAGCCACCCTTTAAAACTGACTTTGTGTGCCACTTTGTTTAATAACTAATTTTTTATATGTTACTAATGTTTATACGTTACTGATTTTTATATGTTACTGATGTTTATACGTTACTGATGTTTATATGTTACTGATGTTTATACATTACTGATGTTTATATGTTACTGATGTTTATACGTTACTGATGTTTATATGTTACTAATGTTTATACGTTACTGATGTTTATACGTTACTGATGTTTATACGTTACTGATGTTTGTATGTTAAATCTGAGCTTATGTAATAAAGAGGATTTGGGAAAACAAGTGTGTCTTTCATGTTGATCAAGTATTATTGGTATATCTGTTAGGGATGAGCTTGTGGGGAATTTAACTGTGACATCCTGGAGAAAATGACGTAAAAACAAGTTAAGATAATTTTTAACTGTTATTAACTGTCATTTTTGAGAACACTAGGATGGATAGATAACATTTTCACTCCTCCCCTCTTTCCCTCCCTCTTTCCCCCCCTTTCCCCCCTTTTCCCCCATGCCTAGCAGTCCCTTTTGCCCTGTTTTTGGCCGAGCGGTTAAGGCGTTGGACTCAAGATCCAATGGACAAAAGTCCTCGTGGGTTCAAACCCCACTCCTGGTAAAGCAAACTTTCATCTTAGTCATGTTCAATAATTAGCAAATAATCTTCACCCAAACTTACAGCCTTACATTGCAAGTATTACGCTTGTCCATTGCTAAATTGATGCGCACGCCAAGGAGCCGGCTAAATCTTTTGAAAGATAAAGGCCAACATATCTCAAGAGAAGAGATTTTGCAAATATTTGAACACAGCTTACATGCTTACATTTAGCATTTATTCTGTATAAAGATTCGTGAGAGTCAGCCGTAGTTGCTGTGACCGTGACCCCGAGTATTCCTGTTGGCCATACACCGGGATGGCCGAGTGGTTAAGGCGTTGGACTTAAGGTCCAATGGACAAAAGTCTTCGTGGGTTCAAACCCCACTCCTGGTAAATGGTTAGCTTTAGCAGAGTTATGCTTAAACATAAGCAAATAATCTTCACCAAAACTTACCACCATGTCATGGCTAGCATAAAGAACATCCATATGTCCATTCCATAATGGATTCAGGCCAAGAATGTACTTTGCAGTTTTTGACAGAAAAAAGGCCAGCACCTCTCAAGAGGTAGCATTTATTCTTTATCGAGAGTTAGCAGAAGTTGCTGAGACTGTGACCCTCTGGTCTTCCATTTAGACAAACACCAGGATGGATGAGTGTTTAAGGCGTTGGACGTAGGTTCCAATGGATTAAAGTCCTCGTGGGTTCAAACCCCACTCCTGGTAAATAAGAAGCATTAGCTGAGTAATGTTTAAACAACTGTGAATATTCTGAACCAAACCTTACAGGCATGTAAGCTGTGTTCAAATATTTGCAAAATCTCTTCTCCAAACCTTATAGGCATGTCATGGCAACCATAATGCACACCCATATGACCATTCCTTAATGAATACAAGCCAAGAATGTACTGTGCAGTTTTTGACAGATAATGGCTGACCTATCTTAACCCTCTTACCCCATATGTCCGAAAAACCGGTTTGCCTGTCTTTGATCTATTCCCGTAAGGACGACATACCGGCTTGGTCGGTGCTGTGGCAAATCCCCGTAAGGCAGACATAGTGGCTTTACAGTGTAAACGTTATCCCCGTAAAGCCGGTATACCGGCATTACTCTGCTATGATTCCTTACTTATTTAATTATTATTTTTTGTCCAGAAGGTTGATGACGTCATGACGTCATGACGTCACGACGTGATTACGTTATTACGCCGTCATTACGATGAAGATGATCCAAGCGTGAATATTGGGGTAATAGTAGAAGTGAACTAAAAATGCCAAAACGAAAAGCTAATCGTGTTCCAGCTAAAGTTACACCTACAGTGGACACAGGTACATCTAAAACAATGAAAAAAACATAGGCGAGAGCAAGGATTCTAGATCGAGACCGCAGTAAGGTAATGTAAGGCTATAAGTTTGGGTGAAGATTATTTGCTAATGATTGAACATGACTTAGTTACAATGGACAAAAGTCACACAGTTGACACAGGTACATCTAAAACAGTGAAAAAAAGACAACCAGTTACACAGGTGAGAGCAAGGATTCTAGATCGAGACCGCAGTGAAAGTTCAGGCGATGTTGAAATCGAAACTGATAGTGACCCAAACTCTCCTGATTTAGACCCTGATCCATCTTCATCTTCAGCATCAACCAGTGCGACTGACACTGCAGGGCTTTGGAGTCACAACGGGACCATTTCTGTGCTTCGTGAAAACAGTACCTGCTGGTCTGATTACCACCAGAAACTTGACTTTTGGCGAAAATGCATTTATTTATTTATTTATTATGTACTTGAATTTATTCAAAGGCATTGACCACGCTGATGCGCTCGCATGGTACTTCTTAATGAGTATAAGGATTTTAGCGAGCATTTTTCGTCATTTCTCTAGTTAAGAAATGTGCTCTAAGTTTAGTAAAAACACTGAACTTGCGTCATTTTCAAAGCAATATTACACATATACATTATTATAAGTTGTTTCAAGGCCTAAAAAATGCTCAAATTAAAATGTTGATTTTGGGGCCAATTTTGCCGCCCAGAACTCAGGGTTGGTGTGCTGTTTCTATGGGGAATATAGGGTTGTGGGACATAATACTGTGGGAATGTAGGTGTAAGAGGGTTAAGAGGTAGCATTTAGTCTGTATCAAGACTTTTGAGAGTCCCCAATAGTTGCTCAGACTGTGACCCCGAGTATTGCAGGTAGACTTACACCAGGATGGCGGGCGCGGTTAAGGCGTTGGACCCAAGATCCAATGGACAAAAGTCCTCGTGGGTTCAAACCCCACTCCTGGTAAAGCAAACTTTCATCTTAGTCATGTTCAATCATTAGCAAATAATCTTCACCCAAACTTACAGCCTTACATTGCAAGTATTACGCTTGTCCATTGCTAAATTGATGCACGCCAAGGAGAGCTGCTAAATCTTTTGAAAGATAAAGGCCAACATATCGCAAGAGGTAGCATTTATTCTGTATAAAGATTCATGAGAGTCAGCCGTAGTTGCTGTGACCGTGACCCCGAGTATTCCTGTTGGCCATACACCGGGATGGCCGAGTGGTTAAGGCGTTGGACTTAAGTTCCAATGGACAAAAGTCTTCGTGGGTTCAAACCCCACTCCTGGTAAATGGTTAGCTTTAGCGGAGTTATGCTTAAACATAAGCAAATAATCTTCACCAAAACTTACTACCATGTCATGGCTAGCATAACTTATACTCATTAAGAAGTACCATACGAGCATCAGCGTGGTCAATGCCTTTGAATAAATTCAAGTACATAATAAATAAATAAATAAATGCATTTTAGCTCCAAAAGTCAAGTTTCTGGTGGTAATCAGACCAGCAGGTACTGTTTTCACGATCGCACAGAAATGGTCCCGTTGTGACTCCAAAGCCCTGCAGTGTCAGTCGCACTGGTTGATGCTGAAGATGAAGACGGATCAGGGTCTAAACCAGGAGAGTTTGGGTCACTATCAGTTTCGATTTCAACATCGCCTGAACTTTCACTGAACTTTCACTGAACTTTCACATCTAGAATCCTTGCTCTCACCTGTGTAACTGGTTGTCTTTTTTTCACTGTTTTAGATGTACCTGTGTCAACTGTGTGACTTTTGTCCATTGTAACTAAGTCATGTTCAATCATTAGCAAATAATCTTCACCCAAACTTACAGCCTTACATTACCTTACTGCGGTCTCGAAATCCATGCTCTTTTTTTTTTTTTTTCGCCTATTGTTTTTTGTAGGTGTAACTTACTAGCTGGCCAACACATCGTTTTGGCTTTTTTAACTCGATTACCCCAATATTCAACTGCGCTTGGATCATCTTCATCGTAATAACGGCTAAAACGCTATCACTGCGTATGACGTCATGACGTCATGACGCTAAACCATAACGTCTGAAACAAAAATTAAATAAGTAAGGAATCATGCGCAGAGTAATCGCCCGCAGAGTAATGAGAACGTTTACACTGTAAAGCCACTATGTCTGCCTTTACGAGGATTTGCCATAGACGACCAACGCCGGTATGTCTTCGCTCGAGAATAAACAAAGAACAGGTTTTGCGGACATATGGGGTAAGAGGGTTTAAGATAGGTCAGCCATTATCTTAAAAAACAATAACATTTTGGCTAATTGTATTCATATAAGGAATGGTCATACGGGTGTGCATTATGGTTGCCATGACATGCCTATAAGGGCTTTGGAGAATAGATTTGCAAATATTTGAACACAGCTTACATGCCTGTTAGGTTGGTTCAGAATATCTGCAGTTGTTTGTCAATACTCAGCCAATGCTTCTTATTTACCAGGAGTGGGGTTTGACCAGAACCCACAGGACTTTAATCCATTGGACCCCACCTATAAACACTAATCATCCATCCTGGTGTTGGTCTAAATGGAAGACCAGAAGGTACATTCTCAGCAACTTTTGCTAACTCGATAAAGAATAAATGCTACCTCTTGAGAGGTGCCTGGCGCCTTTTTCGTCAAAAACTGCAAAGTACATTCTTGGCCTGAATCCATTATGGAATGGACATATGGATGTTCTTTTGGCTAGCCATGACATGGTAGTAAGTTTTGGTGAAGATTATTTGCTTATGTTTAAGCATAACTCTGCTAAAGCTAACCATTTACCAGGGGTGGTTTGTTTGAACCCAACGGACTTTTTTGGTCCATTGAAACTTAAGTCCAACGCCTTAACCACTCGCGCCATCCCGGTGTATGGCACAAATACAGGGATACTCGGTCACAGCAACTACGGCTGACTCTCTGAATCTTTATACAGAATAAATGCTACCTCTTGAGATATGTTGGCCTTTATCTTTCAAAAGATTTAGCAGCTCTCCTTGCGCGTGCTCCAATTTAGCAATGGACGCGTAACTATACTGCAATGTAAGGCTGTAAGTTTGGGTGAAGATTGTTCGCTAATGATTGAACATGACTAAGATGAAAGTTTGCTTTACCAGGAGTGGGGTTTGAACCCACGAGGACTTTTGTCCATTGGATCTTGAGTCCAACGCTTAACACCTCCGGCCATCCTGGTGTTAGGCTACCTGCAATACTCGGGGTCACAGTCTCAGCAACTATTGGGGACTCTCAAAAGTCTTGATACAGACTAAATGCTACCTCTTAACCCTCTTACACCTACATTCCCACAGTATTATGTCCCACAACCCTATATTCCCCATAGAAACAGCACACAAACCTCCGTTCTTGGGCCAAAATTGGCCCCAAAATCAACATTTTAATTTGAGCATTTTTAGGCCTTGAAACAACTTATAATAATGTATATGTGTAATATTGCTTTGAAAATGACGCAAGTTCAGTGTTTTTACTAAACTTAGAGCACATTTCTTAACTAGAGAAATGACGAAAAAATGCTCGCAAATCCTTATACTCATTAAGAAGTACCATACGAGCATCAGCGTGGTCAATGCCTTTGAATAAATTCAAGTACATAATAAATAAATAAATAAATGCATTTTAGCGCCAAAAGTCAAGTTTCTGGTGATAATCAGACCAGCAGGTACTGTTTTCACGAGCGCACAGAAATGGTCCCGTTGTGACTCCAAAGCCCTGCAGTGTCAGTCGCACTGGTTGATGCTGAAGATGAAGATGGATCAGGGTCTAAATCAGGAGAGTTTGGGTCACTATCAGTTTCGATTTCAACATCGCCTGAACTTTCACTGCGGTCTCGATCTAGAATCCTTGCTCTCACCTGTGTAACTGGTTGTCTTTTTTTCACTGTTTTAGATGTACCTGTGTCAACTGTGTGACTTTTGTCCATTGTAACTGAGTCATGTTCAATCATTAGCAAATAATCTTCACCCAAACTTACAGCCTTACATTACCTTACTGCGGTCTCGATCTAGAATCCTTGCTCTCGCCTATGTTTTTTTCATTGTTTTAGATGTACCTGTGTCCACTGTAGGTGTAACTTTAGCTGGAACACGATTAGCTTTTCGTTTTGGCATTTTTAGTTCACTTCTACTATTACCCCAATATTCACGCTTGGATCATCTTCATCGTAATGACGGCGTAATAACGTAATCACGTCGTGACGTCATGACGTCATCAACCTTCTGGACAAAAAATAATAATTAAATAAGTAAGGAATCATAGCAGAGTAATGCCGGTATACCGGCTTTACGGGGATAACGTTTACACTGTAAAGCCACTATGTCTGTCTTACAGGGATTTGCCATAGACGACCAAGCCGGTATGTCGTCCTTACGGGAATAGATCAAAGACAGGCAAGCCGGTTTTTAAGCCATACGGGGTAAGAGGGTTAAGATAGGTCCACCTTTATCTGTCAAAAACTGCACAGTACATTCTTGGCTTGTATTCATTAAGGAATGGTCATATGGGTGTGCATTATGGTTGCCGTGAAATGCCTATAAGGTTTGGAGAAGAGATTTTGCAAATATTTGAACACAACTTACATGCCTGTAAGATTTGGTTCAGAATATCTGCAGTTGTTTGAACATTACTCAGCTAATGCTTCTTATTTACCAGGAGTGGGGTTTGAACCCACGAGGACTTTTGTCCATTGGAACTTAAGTCCAACGCCTTAACCACTCGGCCATCCCAGTGTATGGCCAACAGGAAAACTCGGGGTCACGGTCACAGCAACTACGGCTGACTCTCAAGAGTCTTGATACAGAATAAATGCTACCTCTTGAGATATGTTGGCCTTTATCTTTCAAAAGATTTAGCAGCTCTCCTTGGCGTGCATCAATTTAGCAATGGACAAGCGTAATACTTGCAATGTAAGGCTGTAAGTTTGGGTGAAGATTATTTGCTAATGATTGAACATGACTAAGATGAAAGTTTGCTTTACCAGGAGTGGGGTTTGAACCCACGAGGACTTTTGTCCATTGGATCTTGAGTCCAACGCCTTAACCGCTCGGCCATCCTGGTGTAAGTCTACCTGCAATACTCGGGGTCACAGTCTCAGCAACTATTGGGGACTCTCAAAAGTCTTGATACAGACTAAATGCTACCTCTTAACTTTCTTACACCTACATTCCCACAGTATTATGTCCCACAACCCTATATTCCCCATAGAAACAGCACACCAACCCTGAGTTCTTGGGCCAAAATTGGCCCCAAAATCAACATTTTAATTTGAGCATTTTTAGGCCTTGAAACAACTTATAATAATGTATATGTGTAATATTGCTTTGAAAATGACGCAAGTTCAGTGTTTTTACTAAACTTAGAGCACATTTCTTAACTAGAGAAATGACGAAAAATGCTCGCTAAAATCCTTATACTCATTAAGAAGTACCATACGAGCATCAGCGTGGTCAATGCCTTTGAATAAATTCAAGTACATAATAAATAAATAAATAAATAAATGCATTTTAGCGCCAAAAGTCAAGTTTCTGGTGGTAATCAGACCAGCAGGTACTGTTTTCACGAGCGCACAGAAATGGTCCCGTTGTGACTCCAAAGCCCTGCAGTGTCAGTCGCACTGGTTGATGCTGAAGATGAAGATGGATCAGGGTCTAAATCAGGAGAGTTTTGGTCACTATCAGTTTCGATTTCAACATCGCCTGAACTTTCACTGCGGTCTCGATCTAGAATTCTTGCTCGCCTATGTTTTTTTTTGTTTCATTGTTTTAGATGTACCTGTGTCCACTGTAGGTGTAACTTTAGCTGGAACACGATTAGCTTTTCGTTTGGCATTTTTAGTTCACTTCTACTATTACCCCAATATTCACGCTTGGATCATCTTCATCGTAATGACAGCGTAATAACGTAATCACGTCGTGACGTCATGACGTCATCAACCTTCTGGACAAAAAATAATAATTAAATAAGTAAGGAATCATAGCAGAGTAATGCCGGTATACCGGCTTTACGGGGATAACGTTTACACTGTAAAGCCACTATGTCTGTCTTACGGGGTTTGCCATAGACACGACCCAACCGGTATGTCGTCCTTACGGGAATAGATCAAAGACAGGCAAGCCGGTTTTTAAGCCATATACGGGTAAGAGGGTTAAGATAGGTCCACCTTTATCTGTCAAAAACTGCACAGTACATTCTTGGCTTGTATTCATTAAGGAATGGTCATATGGGTGTGCATTATGGTTGCCGTGAAATGCCTATAAGGTTTGGAGAAGAGATTTTGCAAATATTTGAACACAACTTACATGCCTGTAAGGTTTGGTTCAGAATATTTGCAGTTGTTTAAACATTACTCAGCTAATGCTTCTTATTTACCAGGAGTGGGCTTTGAACTCACGAGGACTTTAATCCATTGGAACCTACGTCCAACGCCTTAACCACTCGGCCAGCCTGGTGTTGGTCTAAATGGAAGACCAGAGGGTCACAGTCTCAGCAACTTCTGCTGACTCTCGATACAGAATAAATGTTACCTCTTGAGATATGCTGGCCTTTATCTGTCAAAAACTGTAAAGTACATTCTTGGCTTGAATCCATTAAGGAATGGACATATGGATGTTCTTTATGCTAGCCATGACATGGTAGTAAGTTTTGGTGAAGATTATTTTTCTTATGTTTAAGCATAACTCCGCTAAAGCTAACCATTTACCAGGAGTGGGGTTTGAACCCACGAGGACTTTTGTCCATTGGAACTTAAGTCCAACGCCTTAACCACTCGGCCATCCCGGTGTATGGCCAACAGGAAAACTCGGGGTCACGGTCACAGCAACTACGGCTGACTCTCAAGAGTCTTGATACAGAATAAATGCTACCTCTTGAGATATGTTGGCCTTTATCTTTCAAAAGATTTAGCAGCTCTCCTTGGCGTGCATCAATTTAGCAATGGACAATCGTAATACTTGCAATGTAAGGCTGTAAGTTTGGGTGAAGATTATTTGCTAATGATTGAACATGACTAAGATGAAAGTTTGCTTTACCAGGAGTGGGGTTTGAACCCACGAGGACATTTGTCCATTGGATCTTGAGTCCAACGCCTTAACCACTCGGCCATCCTGGTGTAAGTCTACCTGCAATACTCGGGGTCACAGTCTGAGCAACTATTGGGGACTCTCAAAAGTCTTGATACAGACTAAATGCTACCTCTTAACCCTCTTACACCTACATTCCCACAGTATTATGTCCCACAACCCTATATTCCCCATAGAAACAGCACACCAACCCTGAGTTCTTGGGCCAAAATTGGCCCCAAAATCAACATTTTAATTTGAGCATTTTTAGGCCTTGAAACAACTTATAATAATGTATATGTGTAATATTGCTTTGAAAATGACGCAAGTTCAGTGTTTTTACTAAACTTAGAGCACATTTCTTAACTAGAGAAATGACGAAAAATGCTCGCTAAAATCCTTATACTCATTAAGAAGTACCATACGAGCATCAGCGTGGTCAATGCCTTTGAATAAATTCAAGTACATAATAAATAAATAAATAAATGCATTTTAGCGCCAAAAGTCAAGTTTCTGGTGGTAATCAGACCAGCAGGTACTGTTTTCACGAGCGCACAGAAATGGTCCCGTTGTGACTCCAAAGCCCTGCAGTGTCAGTCGCACTGGTTGATGCTGAAGATGAAGATGGATCAGGGTCTAAATCAGGAGAGTTTGGGTCACTATCAGTTTCGATTTCAACATCGCCTGAACTTTCACTGCGGTCTCGATCTAGAATCCTTGCTCTCACCTGTGTAACTGGTTGTCTTTTTTTCACTGTTTTAGATGTACCTGTGTCAACTGTGTGACTTTTGTCCATTGTAACTAAGTCATGTTCAATCATTAGCAAATAATCTTCACCCAAACTTACAGCCTTACATTACCTTACTGCGGTCTCGATCTAGAATTCCGCTCGCCTATGTTTTTTTCATTGTTTTAGATGTACCTGTGTCCACTGTAGGTGTAACTTTAGCTGGAACACGATTAGCTTTTCGTTTTGGCATTTTTAGTTCACTTCTACTATTACCTCAATATTCACGCTTGGATCATCTTCATCGTAATGACGGCGTAATAACGTAATCACGTCGTGACGTCCAACGCCTTAACCGCTTGGCCATCCTGGTGTAAGTCTACCTGCAATACTCGGGGTCACAGTCTCAGCAACTATTGGGGACTCTCAAAAGTCTTGATACAGACTAAATGCTACCTCTTAACCCTCTTACACCTACATTCCCACAGTATTATGTCCCACAACCCTATATTCCCCTAGAAACAGCACACCAACCCTGAGTTCTTGGGGCCAAAATTGGCCCCAAAATCAACATTTTAATTTGAGCATTTTAAGGCCTTGGAAACAACTTATAATAATGTATATGTGTAATATTGCTTTGAAAATGACGCAAGTTCAGTGTTTTACTAAACTTAGAGCACATTTCTTAACTAGAGAAATGACGAAAAATGCTCGCTAAAATCCTTATACTCATTAAGAAGTACCATACGAGCATCAGCGTGGTCAATGCCTTTGAATAAATTCAAGTACATAATAAATAAATAAATAAATGCATTTTAGCGCCAGCAGTTTTCAGCTCTTTCCACACATTCTCGATTGGATTCAGGTCTGGACTTTGACTTGGCCATTCTAACACCTGGATACGTTTATTTGTGAACCTATTTGTGAACATATTGATTTTCTTTATGATTGCTATGAAATGTCTGTAAGTTTTTGTCAAGTAGTGTTGCTAATGTTTAAACGCAACTCAGCTGATGCATTATTTTACCTGGAGTGGGGTTTGAACCCACGAGGACTTTTATCCATGGGATCTTGAGTCCAACTTGGCCATCCTGATGTGCATCTGCTTGGAAGACCTGGGGGTCACAGTCTCAGCAACTACTGGCAATTCTCAAAAGTCTTGCTACAGAAGTACTCTTAACTCTTGAAATAGGTTGGCCTTTTTCTGTCAAAAGCTGTACGGTACATCCATGGCTTGCATCCATTAAGGACCAGACATATGGAAGTTCTTTATGCTTGCCAATGCCTGTACGTTTTGGTGAAGAATTTTTGCTAATCTTTAAAGACAACTTAACTGAAGCTTTCCCTTCATGCATGTGCTTTATCCTTGCCATGACATGCCAGTAAGGTTTGTTAAAGTATATTTTAAACATGATGCTGCTAAAGCTTCTCATTTACCAGGAGTGGGGTTTGAACCCACGAGGGCTTTTTTCCTGTGGAACTTCAATACAAACCTTAACAACTCGGCCATTGTGGCATATGTGAGCTTCTAAGACTAGCCGTCACAGTCTCAGCAACTATTGGCAACTCCCAAAAGCCTCATGGCAGAATAAATCCTACCTAGATATGTTGGCCTTTTACTTCAGGTCATTATTGGCTTGCATCCAAGCCAATTCAATAAACTTTCAAAGTTAGTAGTATGTATGGTTTTTATATTAACTTGAGACATCACAATGAAATTGTTAAACACTAAACAAAGCACAGGATTCAGCGCAAAACTACTCATCTTAAACCAGTAGTTTACCATCCTAATATTACTAATGCTAATCCTTTTATAAGTTGGCATACAGTGATTACTAATTGATTAGCAATTTATTCCTGAGACTATGACTATGTATATTTGAACTATATTTTTCATTTCTCTGGTTTCTTTTCTTTCTTTTTTTTTATTACTTGGCACCAAGTGTGCTTCATCAAGCTGTGATCACACCACAGTCTTGTCATCTCAAATTACTGCAATCTCAAGCTTCCTTCTGTTCTAATAAGATGTAATTACCAGTGAGAAAATGGTGCCAATACTGAAACAGAACAGTGCTACTGGAATGTTACAGAGAAAGTTCAGAGAAGTGCTCTTAATGCTTCATTTACTTCCCCTGGACTGATGCCCATGTATAAATAATCCCCCAAACAACTCCTGCTGCATATTGTAGGCTAGCACATGCATATTGTTTGGCTAATTGCCCGTGTGTCTGAACAAGTGTGTGAGTAAGTGTGTGAATGGGGGTCTGAGATTGACAGGTGGGGGACACCCTGTACAGGGTACCAACTCATCGCAGGGCACAATCACACACTACAGACAATCTGGAAATGACAATTAGCTTACAACACATGTCTTTGTATTGGGTGAAGAAAACCCCAAAGCATGGGGAAAACATGCAAGCTCCACACACACAGAGCAGAGGTGGGATTTGAACCCCAACCCCAGAACTGCTCCTCACCAAATTATGTATTAAGAGGTATAAATGTTAATAGTTATATATATAATATATATATATATATATATATATATATATATATATATATATATATATATATATATATATATATATATAAAACCAGTTACATGATTTGTCATGGCGACTTTTTTCTTCATTTGCTAATTTCGTCTTCCTTTTCTTCTTCTTCCTCTCCTTCTCCTCCTCCTAAATTTCACAGGTCACAGTTTTTCATGTATAACCACCAAGTTTGAAAGAATAATAGATCCTATTTGAAAATAGTTTGCTTGTGCTTTTGGGAAAGATCAAAATTACAGTTGCCACTTTGTCCTTTAAACATTTTATTTATTTTTTTGACCCTCAAACTAAAAAAAATGATTTTCACCTTTAACCATTATAACCTTTAATCATTTTAACCTTTAAACACTTAACTTGCAAGCATTGTCATATCGTTTAACTCTTTTAGCATGTTTAGTAGGCTGTCAAATCAACATCAAAGTTCATCCAGGAACTTTAACGTGCTAGTTTTTACTTATTATAAATATAAATATATTTCACCCAAAAAGTCCCAAAAATGGATAAACCAGCTAGTTGAAATGATCAGACGCACAGTCACATCCATACAGAAAATGTCACACATGAATCGTTACATGATTCATATGTGAAGTTACACACGCAATGTTTAGACAATTCTATTCAGTTCAGTTTTATTTGGATAGCGCTTTTTACAACTGACATTGTCACAAAGCATCTTTACAGAAATATTTAAATTTCCAATCTAAATTTTAAATTGATAAATTTGTCCCTTATGAGCAAGCCAGAGGTGACAGTGGCAAGGAAAAACTCCCTGAGATGCTATGAGGAAGAAATTTTTAGAGGAACCAAACTCAAAAGGGAACCCATCGTCATCTGGGTAACAACGGACAGTGTAATTAGAAATAAATCTCATCTATAACTGTGTGCTACATAATAAAACAAAATGTATAATCAGGAGATTCATCACCGTCTCAGCATAAGGTCTATTCTGCTGAACACATGCACTGTCTGCTGATGGAGATCCGGGTACAAAAAGACACCACACCAAAACTACCCGCATCAGTTCCAGTCCACTGCCATCTCCGTGGCTTCCAAGTGTCCCTAGGCTGTCCATATGGAGCCATCTTCAGTAACAGTGACTGGCCTCCAAACGATGAGAACTCCAGAAGCAGGGCATCAGTATGGACCAAGTGTAGAGCGTTGGTATTATCCAAAGTCTTCGCAGGCATTGGCGTCATCTGGAATCTTCGTAGAGGTTGGTTCTGAGCTGGAGCTTGTACATTCATTGATTACCTCAGGGTCCTGAGGTAGGAACAGGAAACAAATGGATTAGCACGGCTGCTGTTCATTGAATTTCAGGCAGAGATAACCATGTGCATTTGTTATCGTTTTATCAGACGTGATTGCATAACAAGGTTATGAGATGCGTTACGTGAATGCTAGGTTAAAGAAATGTGTTTTTAATCTAGATTTAAACTGAAAAAGTGTGTCTGAACCCCGAACATTTTCAGTAAGGCTATTCCAGAGTTTAGGAGCTAAATGTGTAAAAGCTCTACCTCCTTTGGTAGATTTTGATATCCTCTGTATTATCAAAAGTCCAGAGTTTTGCAAACTTAAAGAGCGTGAAGATATGGAACTTGACCAGTGTAGAGATGATAAAATTGGGGTAATGTGTTCATATTTTCGTGCTATAAAATAACACTAATGTTATGTTTCATACATTTTGTGACCCCCCATGATTAATGAATTTTACATATTAACATTTCCCATGTAGGTGGTTTTAGTTATTTAGTGTGTTGAGGAAGTTATGTATTAATCACCTGGTGTTACGTGTGTAATTGAATTCTCAGGCGCAATTTCATCTGTTCACATACTAGTCACATACTCACATGTGAAATATATATTTATTGCTATAGTACGCTCCTTTTCCAGCAATGGGATGTACTACAGCAGAAAAGTGTGCATCAAACTGTCCTCTAATGTAGTGTATTATTCTGAAGCCCACTTTATTAGGGCAGTGTGATTTAATACAGGGCCAGTGAGTGAGTGTGTGTGTGTGTGTGTGTGTGTGTGTGAGAGAGAGAGAGAGAGAGTGTCGGTGTGTGTGTGTGTGTGTGTGGGTGTATGAATCGATGTGTGTGTGAGAGCCGGTGTGTGTCTTTCTCCTATCCTCGGCTGCAATCTCCCTTGCAGGATGCGCTTTCCTGCGTGAGCAAATCTCAAATTTGTCCGATCTCCTACATTTTATTGGTTGACATCAGACTATGATGGATTATTTTGGGTAATTACATTAAAATCACTCGGATATCAGGGGAATATGGCCAGTTTGCACATGGACGCGTTATATCTGTGGATACTCAGCTCTTTTTGGAAAACTGTGAGTTTCTGCCTGTTTTATAAGTTTTTATTGTTTACTGATTTATAAGTTTTGCGAGTTTTTGTTTACAGACTAAATTAGACTGCTTTATAAAATACAGGAAAAAAATAATAATACACAAATAATTGTATTTAGAATTTTTGTTTTAATATATTTACTTATTTTTATGATTATTTAATAAATAGACCTCAAATAACACTGACATAAGGAATATATGAGGATAAACATTTAAGTAAATATTAAGTAAGTAATAATTAAATAAAGATAACCTATTAATAGTTAAATTAACTAAGTCTTATTTTTCATACCTCAACCCCAGATACTTTATATATTTTCTTCTGATTGTCATACATGCACTCAAACTTTTCCTCTGTTTTTATTATTATTTTGAATTTTTTAATAAATGACCTCAGTTCTTACAGGCATTTTTCCTCATTTAAGTGTTCTTTGAAAAAAGTGAAAACTGTGCTCATCAGGCTAATGTTAATCCCCAATTTGTGACCCTGCATCTTTCTAATAAGACATTTTCTTCAAGTGTGTTTGAGAAACATGAATCAGATGTAGCCACTTGTCTCGCTTCATCTAAAATCTTAAAATTCAGATATTATGCGGTTACGCAAACATGGCTCAGGTTCTCGGTGAATGCTTCACGAAATATAGCAAAATATAAATATTGATAGGAATCAAGAAACTGTAAACGTCATGTCTATAAAAGTTTATTTTAATCCGTTCTCCTAGACAGGAAAGAAATTGTTTTGTAATGTTATGGGATGATGGTAGAGTATAAGTTTGTGTGATGTTGCTCAGGGTTCAGTTATTTATAAGGTATAAACTCACAAAAATAAATCACTGCATTAAAAAAACAAAAAACTGGTGGATTGTGAGAGTAAGCAGAACATGCTAATGCTTTGAAGGATGTAATGTTATTTAATTGCGAATCTGTTTTTAGAGGATTTAAACCTAACATGATGAACAAATTATATTATAGAATTCAGGCAATTTTACTGGGTATATCACATACAGTGTAGAAGGAAATAATCTGGAAAGACCTTTGTCTAAAACTGGATTTAAAGAGAAACAAATTAGTAAATGAATCACATGAAAATGTATCACTTGAATATGAAGCACATGAAAATGAATCACATGTAAATGAATCATACGCAAATGAATCACATGTAAATGAATCACATGTAACTGAATTGCATGTAAATGATTCACATGAATATGAATCACATGAAAATGAATAAATTAAATACAAAAAAAAAAAACCCCAAAAAACATCTTGCTTTAATCGTTATGGCTTGACTTGTTCTTTCCAAATGCATTGGATCTGCAGGTGGAGGCCATCCACCCGGTTTGCGCTATCGTCTCACAGCATATGAAGGCTCAGGAGCTCTGCAGTCAGACCAGGAAGAAAGAGAGCAAGAACCAAACGAAACAACAGGGTATCCACATCACCATCTTATTTTACCCTCTCATCAGCCTTTTCTATCTATACATAATGCTGCTGGTTGATGTAGGGCTGGGCAAAATGACTTTAGAATATCAACAGTAATACATCAGTAGCAATATTCTGGGTATTGTGGTGTCTGTGTGTCTAAAAATGTGTTGACGTTAACTACAAATATG